GGAGGCCAAGAAGGAATGACCCGCAGACAGCGTTCAGTTGATCAGCAGCCTAGCCAGGATCTCCAGCCAAGTTCTGGTCAGGATCTCCAGCCAAGTTCTGTGTCCATGTTCCCTCACTAGGTTCTCCAGCCAGGTTCTGTCCAGGTTCTCTTGCCAGGTTCAGTCACCAGGTTCTAGTCAGGTTCTCTTGCCATGTTCTATCCAGGTTCTGTAGCCAGGTTCTGTCTCTAGGTTCTTTGGCCAGGTTCTCTCGCTATAGGTTCTGTCTCTAGGTTCTGTTGCCAGTTTCTGTCCAGGATCTTTTGCCATGCTCTCTCACTAGGTTCTGTCTCTAGGTTCTGTCCAGTTCTTTCTTAGTAAATGAACACAGTCACCTCTGGGTGTGCTGGGGAAGTGGGGGCGTACCACAGAGTAAAGGGGAAGCACTTGCTAGGCTGTCTTGCCTCTTGACTACCGCCAGCTTACCCCCAGCACAAGGCTTTTTAAGGCTTCATGCAGGTGCGAGGTGGAAGCTGCCCTGGGCTGCCGCTCCCAGGAGAACTGACTAGTGGGGTTTGTCTCCACCCAGGTGCTGAGCATGCGGAGCCTGACCTCTTGAAGGATGAGCTTCAACTCTACAGAGGTAATCGATTGTCCAGTGACTTTGGGGAAAAAAGCAGAATTAAACAAAGGACAGGAGGGCCTAGGTGTTTGTTGGGCAGAAATGAGATCATGTGTATTTCATGAGCTAAAAAGTTGTGGGCAGATGCAGAAAATGTGGTAAAGTGAGTTATAACGCTGGCAGATGGAGATGGGCAAGCGTTCTGCACCGTGACACTGTCCTGGGCTCTCTTCTGAGCTATAACCTTGACTTGGCCGATTTCCCAACCTTTCTGGGCCTCAGCTTCCCCACCAGCAACACGAGACATGATCAGTACTCTCTCGTGGAACACTTGGCTGTTTACGCCGGCAAGAGAAAATTAAAAACCTGGACTCTACAAGACTCATATTATGGAATAACTGTCTCCGAGCATCACGATTATTACAGCGAGACCTAAGTATTACGGCCATTTGCTTCATAGAACTCAGATGACATGGAGGAATTTATGGGAATGAACCAGTTTGCCAAAAAGCCTGGCTAATGCACATGGCCAGATAAGAAAACCTCCTTAACTTTGTTTCATCCAACATTTCCATGATCTACTTAGTGTTTTAACTCCTGATAATGACCCAAGAAAAACGTCAGGAAACACTTATGCACAGATTCGAAGAAATGTAAATGAAATATTTTTATGTTCTGCAGCATGACTGCTTCTGGGTGGTAGCAATGTGTGCTGTTTGTTTATCTGAATTTTTTATTTATTTTTAAACAAAAACAAGTATTATTTAGTGTTTTTTTTGTTTTTTTTGTGTTTTTTTTTAGTATTATTTAGTTTTTTAAAATGCTTTTAATTACCCAGTTATGAAAGAAAGATTTCATTGGGTGTGAAATGAGAGAGAGAAACTGATATTTATGTACATTTTAAAATATTTTTTCTCATCATAAAAGTAATTCATATTTACTGTAGCTAATGTAGATATTGTCATGTATTTGTGAATTATTTTCTCCCCATACTTCCACCCCAAGGCACTGAAGGTCCTCAGTAAATTACACTGTTGGAGTCTCATTTCGTGGCATTCTTGGTACATTCTCTGTACCCTTGGTGCTGGTCACTCTTTGGTCACTTGTAGATGGTGTTCTCATTTGCATATTCACCCTAAGGACAGCTGAGCATGCTGAATGTTTATTGCCATGTGCTGAGTGCCCCCTTCGGGTGTCTGTCCTGGGGCTGACCTAAAAGACAGGAAGTATACAGGAGTGTCATAGTCGTGGTGGTGGTAGTGGTGGTGGTGGTGGTGGTAGTGGAAGTGGTTACACGTCTTTCTCTGACTCTTAGTTTGGCGCTTTTTATCCAAGTTAACAGGAATTGCTCCTGAAGTGGAGATAGCATGGGAGGAAGAACAAGCAAAATCATCAGGGCACCAATATAGACTCCCTCTTTAGTACCTTATTAAAAGTCCTACCTGTCCTTGAGGGGGAGAAGGTGATGGGCCAGGAGAGAGGTCACCAGAAACTAGAATAGGCACCAAAAACTAGAAGGAAAATGGGTGGGAAGGTCACCTCAGACCAGATTAATGGTGAGGCTGCAACTCAGGGCGGTATGTAGGGCTCAACTCACCCAGACAAGGGGCTTGATGCTCGGGGTTGCGGGGGGGTTGGGGGACAGGGGGCTAGGACTCCCATGTACAACCCAGCATAGCTCCCAGGAGTTCAGGGCCTGGTGGGGCTGGGGCCTTGTGGCTATGTGTCATCACCTAGATCTAGATCATCATGAACAGGCATAGGTTGCAAACTGGTGACTCCTGTGTGTGCAGATGTTTTATTTGGTTCACAGAGTGTTTTTCTTTTTTTTCTACAAACCCTTGTGTTGCGGGCTGACTTTCATTGGTCGAAGCGAGGGAGCTGCTCTGCTATGTACAAAGCTCATAGAGTGTTTCTAAAAATTATAATTAATACATTTCATCAATTCTGCAACCCACATTTTTTCACATTTGGACATATCTGAATGCCTCATAAAAACACTGGTAACTTGCAGTGATAATTAGCAGTGGTTTTCCTTACATACTAACATAGACAAAAATGTCATGTCTCACAAACTCTCTGATTTGCTAAAATACAAGAGTTGCCAACCTTTTTTATAAAGGTTGGATTTATAAACCTGGTTGGATTTATAAATCCAGGTTTTATAAACCTGGATTTCCGGCTTCTCCTGGGCAGGGAAGACCTG